TCGTGTGCAGTTGTCTGGGTCTTACTGTTTTATTCAATTTTAAAATAAATAACCAAAGTAAATGAGATCTCAACAAATCACTAGTTCCCAATCCCTCCCCAGAAGATACATATACAAAACATATTTAAGTTGTTTGTGTCAGTAGGAAGTACATTTTCTTGATCTTTTAAATAGGTTTCTAAAAAAGCTGCAAGTGAAAGCTATAATTTAAGGATAGATAATTACTGTTTGCATGAACAAGACTGGCCTCTATTAATACAGTTACCTTAGCTTCTCCAGACAGTAGCCTCTAACTAGTAAATACCTTCTTCCTCCTGACTTAAATGACAGAAGTCTTTGGAGCAGCAGTTTTGACTATTTCTTTCTTTTACAGGTGAGGAATAAAATTGCAGTCCCTGAATCTTCTTCCCAAATTTATCTATGATATTCACCTGAGTCTCTAAGAAAACAAAGTGAAATTATCATTTTTACAGATTCTTGATTCTCATAGACAGCTTTAGTCTTCCACAGTGTGGTGTTAACACTTGGGCTAGACATAAAGAATTTGTGCACCTGTCTGTTATGTCTGCGAGCTCTGTGCTGCTGAGAGTTCTTTGTTGTTGTTATTCTACTCCAGACCATTAAAAGGGCCCTAATTCCTATGACATGATTATCCAGGTACCAAAGCCCATTTGTCACCTGCAGCAGAAAATTGAGTTAATGCACAACTAAAGGCAACCAGGACTGTGTAATATCAACTTGATTACATCAAACTAGCTGCAAACCTAATTCTGCTGGATGACACTGCGTGGAGCTTGTCATCTCCAATCATTAAAGCTGTCAGGAATCCATCAGGTTTACAGCTAATTAGGTGAACACTAATGAAGCTGGCAAAACAACTTTTCTTTTTTTATGGCTGAGCGGACCTTTCAGTTTGGAGAAAAAAAATTCTCGAGTATTCTCAAGGTTGCTGGGGACTGGATTTCCTGAGTTACCAATCAGCAGACATCTTTAATTCTCCCCCACCACCACCTTTTTTTCTCTCTCAGTACCAAGCAATCAATTTGTCATCACTCTCAGTATGCCACAAAAGCAGTCATGAACCTTATAACTCGCAGCTCTCAAGCCAAAAAGGGGAAAAAAAAAGTTTCTTCTGTCTTAAAATAAAACGCCTCATACAGCTCACTTATTTATCTTCATGCACTTATCAACAGCATAAATGTTCTTGTTTTTTCACTCTTGTCAAATAAGTAGCCCTTCAGTCATTCTACATCCCCCATATCCATTAGGCAGAGGCATTTTGATAAAGTAAAGCCAAAGCTAGTGTATGGGAAAGAATGAAAGCACTCACTCTGCCAACTTCTGATTGACCATTAAGCTATTGATGAATGTGCCTGTCAGGAGAGAGACAATTAAATCAAATATGAAACAAAGTCGTTTTGACGGGTCATTTTGATAGAGCAAAACAATTCTTCCATCTCCTATTAGTCCTGCAGTCAAGTTTTTGTAATGAATATTTCTTAACTAACCTGTTATTTCTTAGTTGTTTTTTAAGGTGTTAAAAAAAAAGCCTTTGCTTTTACTGCTATTAGAAAAAGTAACATTTCCAATGTGCCCAATAAAACAGCATCTCAGTGGGAAGCAATTATACACAATACTAAATGTTTAATGTGGCTATCAAAAAGCTAAAAGTTTAAAGAGATTACACTTCTGCTAAATATGAAAGATAGATCGCACATCGTGGATGATTCACTTGAGAAAGGAGGGGGAGAGAGAGAGTGGTACAGGGAGAGAAAGATACCTTAGAATGTATGTTTAGTGCAGAAACATTTTCTTCCTGCCTATGGAGTGCCCAGGATATAGCAGAGTCGAATGTATCAAATACACAGAAGAGACAGATTTTGCAGAATTAAATTCATGTTACAGAATAGAATTTCCCAAGTATTAGGAAAAGTTCACCTTCTTATTTTTTTTAATGGTTATTTGATGACATAGGCCAGAAATGCAAAATATTATCATGAAGTGTTTGGCTATGATATTGTTTGCTAGATTGTATCACTACAGTACTGCGAAACTTCCCAAACTTTCTGGCTGTTTGTAAATCGAGTAAGACTGCTGGGAAGTCTATTTCTCTGTCTCAAAAGTACGAGCTGAACACATGTGTATGTCAGAGAAAAGAAGAAAGGAAACGTGGACATCGTTACTTACAATTTGTATTACTGCCCGAGCCCCTTGCTGTTTACTAAATTCAAACCACACCACTCGCAGAAGTTGTCAGAGCAGTGTGAAAGCACTGTCACATTTCTGGACGCCTGTTTTCTAACAACACCCTACACCAAGCTGCAGGGACTACCTGCTCCAAGTTGTCCTAAGCACAACCACAACTGCGCTGCCAGTAACGCTGCCAGAGCCTCTGGAAAACTTCCACACCGGTCTCTCAGGGCTGTTTCACCCTGGCCGCCCCAAAGCTGCCCCTCACCAGCCCCAGCCCTGTGCCTGCACCTCCGCCAACCCTGGGCCATGTGGCTCGGTGGCACCGCTCGCCAGGAGCCCCTCAAGTTGCACTAACAGAGAGTTGACAGGCCACGTGTGACGTCACCGAGTCTGGCGTTACCATGGCAAGTGATTTATTGATGTTTATCGGGAATGAATAGATCAAAGGCTGCCAGATGACAGGCGATCAATCAGACATCAAATCAAGGATGGCAACAGGCCAAGGAAACCTTTTCCAGCCCACATATCCCCAACTAAGGATTACTGTAAAATTATGTAGGGCTTTTCTTTTGCTGTTTTCTTTTCAATTTGGCTTTTCCAAAAAATACTGCTTAAGTTTAACAGGAGTTGACATTTCTGGCAAAAGAAAAACAAACCAACCAAACAAAAAACCTCACCAGCACAACGCCTAGAAAAGTATTTCTAAAAAGAAAAAAAAAATATGGAGGAAATTGTAAAGAAACATTTGCCAGTCATTTGACAATTCACAGACCTTTTTTTTTTTTTTTTTTCCTTGGGTTTACTTTGCAGCTTCTCATCTGGACTCATTAATAAGAAATCAATAGGATTAACAGAAGAGGCTACCAAAGAAAGTGACCAACTAGGCGGATCTGTCTGTCCGGCAGAGACATCTCCAGTGCAGTACAAGGGGAGGAGAGAAAAAGATAAAAGTTGGGCAAAGGAACCAGTTCTGGGCTTGGATCTTCAAGTGACACTGCAGACCTTCCAAATCACTTTGTCCCTGACACTTCATTCGCAGCGTGTCATGTATTTACACATACCCTATCTCTTTTTCACAGGAATTTTTAAAAAAAAAATTAATTAGAAAGAGTATTTTCCCTGGCTTTCACAAACCATTTGCCTGTGAGGGAACGGGATGTAGAAGAACGAAGAATACAAGGGAGAAAAGCAAAGTAGGTGCCAAAGTACGGGCTGGAAATGAACAAAATTCGCCTCCTTGCTTCCCCCAGCCCCGGAGTCACACCGACCATACGTGCCCGTGCAGTGTGTGCCCGCACACACCCGCCGGCCCCTGACTGCGTGTTGCCCCAGAACCGAGCCCGGGCGATGGCAGAGTCCGGAATAAATCAAAGTGGGCACCAAAGTGGGGAAAGGGCTTTCATACGCCCCCACCCAAGCAAACAAAAATAAATAAAATACCTCCAGTACCCCCCCCGCCCCCTCCGCCCCGGCGCTGTGCCTCCAGTCCGAGAGTTGCTCAGCAAAGCCCCCGGCACCGGCGGGCAGCGGGGCAGGAGCGCGGCGCGGAGCGGCGGCTCAGCCCGCCGGGAGCCGGTTATGAAAGAGACGGAGGGAAGCGGGAGGAGAAGCCAGCGGCCGCGGAGGGAAGGGAGAGAAGGGAAGGAAGGGAAGCGGCTCTCGTACCTGCTGCGCGCCGGGGCGCTTGCTGCTTCCTCCTCGGCATTGCTGGGCTCCTGCGGGCGCCGGCGGGGGGGGCAGCCGGGGCGCGGGGGTGGGAAGAGTTGCCTCAGCCCCAGAGATCCGGTGAGCTGCTCCAGCCTCGGCGCGAGGGCTGGGTCGGGGATATATTTTTTGTTGCTGTGCATACACGATGCCGAGTAGGAGGAGGAGGCGGCGGCGGCGGCGGAGGAGGCGGCACAGAGGAGAGGACAGCCCTGCTGCTGCTGCTGCTGCTGCTGCTGCTGGCAGAAGAGGGGGGAAGTTTGACAAATCGCCCCGGAGGAAGGAGGAGGGGAAGCCCCCCGAAGAGGTGTGCGGGCGGGAGGGCTGGGGAGAGCCCGCAGTCCCCCCC